CATTCCTATTTCAACATCTTGAAATAGGAAGAAGTAAATTCCAATTTTCTGTTTTCAAGCTTTTAGCATATTTGTTGAATAAGAACAAGGATTAGTAAACAACTATTTAGTTTAGGAAATTCTTATATAAAATATCATAAATACAACAAAATTGTACTCAACAATAATTAAAACTAGTTTTTATTTAAATCAATTGCATTGTTTTCATGCAAACTCCTCTTCTTTGTAAAACATTATGGATTGTTTGCAATTAAACTGTGACTACAATTTCCACATTTGCAGAAAAACTTCCTTGTTTAATCAGCTTCCCATATTAATTAAATTGAATTATTTTTAAAAATGGGTTGAGATTCATTCCTAGTTTTACAAAAACAATTAGATATGCGGTACAAGTTCCTCGACCTCAGAGTACCGCTATTTTAAAAAAAAATCTATATTTATAGAAATTTATAGAAAAAATAACTGCTTAGGCGGATCTACAAGAGGAGAGGGGTTTTTGGGGAGCTAAAGTAACAATGTATTATGAAAAAAATCAACCCTAAGAGTATTATTGTCCCTGCAAAATTACATTTAATGGAACTTCAAGAATCCCTTAAACACCATTTCGTTTAGATAGTTAGTTTCTTTCTTCTTTCTTCCAAAGTAAATATCGTTACAGTGCCGAACTTAGACATTCGGCGCCTCCGGACAATTACTTCATCTTCCTCTTGTTTGTTTTGAAAATTCTTTATTGAGATATATTACAATCTGTCACATCTAAATAATAGTAATGAAAGAGTACCTCATTCACACTATGTACAATAAATTAAAATAAATAAACAGCAAAATAATAATACTAAAAGTAAATGTATATAAACTGAAAGAAACGAAACTAAACTAAAGAAATGAAAAAAAAAAAGAATCTAAACTAATTAAAATGACTTCTTAAATATAGACATGCTTTTATACAATATTTAAAAAATTCTTTCACTCAAGATGGCCAGCCTCCCTCCCCTCCAATCGTGGAAGGAAAGGCAGGACTTTGAGAGGTCCCAGCGCCTCTCACTCAGCCACGCTATAACCAGAAATACATGGCTTGAGTGAAGAATCTGGGCATTGCCAGAACTCCAATATATTCTTACAACAGGTCTCTGGGCCACTGCCGCTTCAACCTTCGAGGAGGATGGTAGGGATGAGTAGAGCTAGATAGGGAGTGTGCAAATGGATTTGGATAATATGGTCTAGGAAGAATGGGATATTAAGGTCATGGTGTAGGGTTTTGTTAGTTGCGTAGAATGGAGCATCGAATATTGTTCGAAGGACTTTGGATTGAAAGGATTGAATTCTTTTGATGTCCCCCACAGTTCCAGCCATTAAGTCCAAATAGGTTTCAGTATTGTCTTGTAGATCAGTAATTTGTTGACGATTGAAAGTTGAAATTATCTGTTCAGTAGTCTATATAGCTGGCCATATAGATTGAGTTCTTGTCTTTTAAATCTAGTATGTGGGTTCCATTTCAGTCTTCGTTCTAAGAGAAAGCCAAGATACCGGACTGTATCTGAGTAAGGAAGTTGAATGGAATTAAAGTGTACTGGTGGACAGGAATTACGTCGGAGAGAAAAGGTAATATGCTTGCATTTTGATTCATTCACTTTAATGTGCCATTTATTTGACCAGCATTCAATCAAGGAGAGGTGCTTTTGTAGATTTAAAGATGCTATTTCGGGATCTGAGTTGAATGATACGATTGCGGTGTCATCAGCAAATGTTGCAAGAAAGGTATCGGAATGAGCAGGGATGTTAGCGGTAAAATGGATGTAAATAATGGAACCCAAAACGCTGCCCTGGGGAACACCGGCTTTGGTTGAATAAATATAGGAAAAGGCTGTTCCAAAGCGTACTCGAAAGGAGCGCTCGGAGAGGTGGAATCGAAGGATTAGGTATGAGGACTGAGGGAGATGGATTTTAAGCTTAAATAGCAGCCCGGGGTGCCATACCATAGCCTGTGCTATGTCCAAAAATGCACCCGAATAGTATTGCTTGTTTTCTATGGCTGCTGAAATATGATCAACGACTCGGTGTCCTTGTTGAACAGTGGAGTGTTGTGAGCGAAAACCAAACTGATGGGAAGGAAGATTTTGGGTTTCTATGAAAGGTAGGATTCGTTTCAAAAGGATCTTTTTATAGATTTTTTAAAGTATTGGGAGAAGGCTAATTGGTCTATAGGATGTCAAGTGGTTTTGGAAAAGGGATAATAGTCGAGTGTTTCGTGTTGGAGTCTGGATAATACGTAAGATGCAATTGTAGATATATGTAAGGAATATGACTGCTTTGGATGGAAGTTGTCGAAGGATCTGAGGGGTAAGGAGGAGATTTCATATCGAGGAGATTTTTTTTTTTTTTTTTTTTTGCGGCATGAGTGCACTACGGCCAAGTAGGCCTACTGTACGCTCGACGAGATTTACGGGGGATTAGTTTCTGTAATTGAAATTTCACTTCGGAAGGATGAATTGCTTTAGGCAGCAAGGAAAGTCATGTAAGGAATTCTTCTACTGTTACAGTGTTGGCGGGGTGGGATTCCGGAAGTGAAATAAATGTATTGGATAGATATCCGGCGAACTCCTGGGTTACATCTTCATAAGATGCTGCCCAGAAGCCGTCATCTCGTCGGAGGGGATGGGAAATTTGGTGAGGGCTTAGGATTTTTTTTGTGGTTTTCCAAAGATATTTGTCGAGCAGAGAGGATAGGTAGGAGTTAAAGGATTGCGATATGAAGGTGGCTAATTCCAGTTTTAATTTTTTTACCGTAATAATTATAGGAGCTGCGGTCGGTGGGATGTCTAGTAAGTTGCCATAATAATCTATTATGTCGTTTGGTGTGAAATATATCAAATACACATCAAAAACGCTGTTTTGGACTGAAGCACTCTCCATCACCACAAAAAAAAAGAAATTAAATCCTGGATCAGCTGTTGCATAACTTCCAGAAATCTATGTATAAACGGTCTGAAGGGTACTCTCGAACACGGACGAATTTCACTATCCCTTGCAAAGGACTACTGGAAACAAATCTTGTAAGTTTTTGTAGAGAGTTAGCTTTTATTACCTTTGGAAACTGTGCGGCTTATTAACGCTAGATGAGATCATTTTTCAAGATAAATTGTTTTAAGTTATTCATAACGTATTTTTATTAATATTTAATAGGGTGTTTTAAAAAATGACCGTTTTATCATACTCAAGATTTCAAAGGACTGTAAATATTTTAATCCTATTTAATACTTACCAAAAGTTAATAGTCCCTTTCGAACATTCTATAAGCTTGTTTAATACCATTCGGCTTCTTTAAAAAAATCTCTTATTAGTTATTTGTTTCAAAGAAGAAACATAACAGTGTCCTACGAAATTCTCGTGATTTTAAGGCATTATTGGAAAAAAAAATTACAGTCGCTGATGCAACTCGTGAAATTATTAAGTATGAAGGGGAAGGTGTCCTTGATCAGCGCACTGCGTGGCGTTGGTTTGAAAAATTTAGTAGTGGAGATACGACGTTGGAAAGGGAGAAGGGCTCCGGGTGACTATTAATGGATATTGATGAGGTTCTTCAGGAAACTATTGAGTCGAATTCGTCAGTACCCACGAACTTGCCAGGGAGTGTTTTGTGTCGAAAGATACTGTTAGTCACAGGCTGATCTATGGGCGGAGGAGGATAGATTTCGGGCTGAAGCTCCTCTCCCCCCCAAAATGGTAATATATAACCGTGACTTATGAAACAAATATTTAATAATTACCTCTAAAAGTGTTATTGTTTGTGTAATTACATTTAATAATACTTAAATAATCACTTAAACTCTATTTCATGAAGATAGCTAGTTTCTTTCTTTCTCTTCATAAGTAATTATCGTTATATATTAAAAAAAAATCTTTCGGGCTGAACTCCTCCCAAACTACATTTTGGATCCGGTAGTGCTATTAGTCGTCATCTACTCTCCATGGGAAAGGTGAAAAAGAGCAGTAGACTGGTCCCTCACGAACTTGCTCCTCAGCAATCAGCTAAGAAATTAGAAATTTTTGAAAATTTATTGAAATACTCTTCTGATTTCAAGATTGTCACCTGTGATGAAAAGTGGGTTTACTGGCGAAATCCGAATAACCGTGAGCAATGGCTTGATCGCGGCCAAACTGCTTTTCCGGTTGCTGCAAGGAAGACTTTTGAAAAAAAAAATCCATGTTTTGCGTTTTTTTTAATTTTTAAGATGTTATTCATCACGAATTTGTTCCTGATGGATGCTCTATGAATTCTGAACTTTTCTGTGAACAACTGGAAAGATTGTAAGCGAAGTTGTCAGAGCATTATCCTGCTTTTATCAACCGAAAATGAATTTTATTCCAACAAGATAATGCTCGTCCTTACACCTCCCGTTGAACCAAAGAAAAGTTTAAAGAACTTCCTGGGTTTGCTCTCCTGCCTCATCCACCATATAGACCAGACCTCACACCGTCGGATACCTAATAACTTAGATCCATGGCCCATTTTCTTAAAGGGAAAAAAATTGATAATTTTGCGGAAGTTGATACTGCGGTTCAATATTTCTTTGACAATCATCCCAAAAAATGGTATCGCTTGGGATCAAGCAATTGGCTACCAGATCGCTAATGACGGTAGATAACAATGGACTATACTTTCAGTATTTTATATCTTTAAATTTGAATAAAATTGTATTTTATATCAAAGAAACAATAATACAATATTTGGTTGAAAAACAGTCATTTTTTTAATGAACCCTATTAATAATCAAATCGAGAGTAATCATATAACCATTAAAATTAAATATTTCGAAAGCTAGAAGGTTTTTGATCGGTTATTCGAGTGTATATGTTAATTAACTCTGGTCCTTACCAATACTATTGTTCTACTTCTAAACCACTTGTCCCATTTGTAAACAGATGTAATGTAAACTACACTGATTGCAAAACTAAATTATGACCAATTAAAATTCACAGATCTTATGACGCACATTTTTAAAAATTGTTTTGAAGCTTTAAAACATGTCCTTAGATTAAAACACATTTTAGTCTCAAGGATTAGGTCACAGATCCTACAAGAGACTGTACAGCCATGAAGGTAATATTTTTAATTTTAAATATTGGTAGGTTGCTCGTTAATTTTATAAGAGAAGTAATCATTCCACTTTAGTCTTACATTATTGATTTCTTATTGGATTTAATCAATAGTAGATTAAGGTTTTATAAAGACCATATTACATCCAAAAATTTTTATCAATTATAAAAAATCTTATTGGGTAACATGATGTTTTTCTTTTATTAGGTCATTTCAGCTTAAATGTCATTTTCCAATATTTTACAATAAAATGACAGTCCTAAAAGAACAGCAAAAACATCTGGTGCGCGCATCACACGACTTTCACTCCCACCCTCTTCTTAGCAGAAATAAGTATTTTCAGACCAAGAGGAAGTTTGGCTGTTTGAAAAAGAAAGAAAATAGAAAGCACACATAATTCATCTGGTTGATTATATATATAATTAATATGTATAATTGTTGTTAAATGTTTAATGTTGTGTTGATTATTTCATGTTAAATAAAAATGTAAATATTCGTTTGTTCAAAATCGTAAATCTCGAAAAGTTCTTCACCAATTGCTTTCAAATTTTGGCTTAACGTTGCATTAGAATGCGTGCCTGGTTTTATATATCTGCTATTATAAAATGTCAAGTAAACGTTTTTTTCCCCCCAAAGAGCACCATCTGTTAGATGTAAAAGTAACAAAAGCATTTCAAAACATTTTAGGACACCACTTCGATGTTTCAGGTTTACAAATGTTATATAGTTTACCGTAGCGTCCTCCTGTCTATGGAGCTATCTCCATCCTCCCCCAAAAAATTATCTCTTAAAGTATTATTGTTCGTGTAATCACACTTAATAGGACTTCAAGAATCACTTTATTTCATATAGCTAGTTAGTATCTTTCTTTTTTTTTTTTTCAAAGTAATTATCGTTATATATATGTGAACAAAAAAATCTTTCGGCGAAAGCCTCCCCCCCCAAAATTAAATTCTGGATCCGCTAGTGTTGTGGACAGTGCTGGTTTGGAGGAGGAACATTAATCATTTGGATTGAAGTAATTATTTTGGAAATAAACATAACCACATTTACAACAAAGGGAAAGGGGATGATGACATGAGGTTTGGTTGAAGGAAGTTTATAGTACTAAGTTATACCAATTTTCCTCTATTAATTGAAGAGCACTGTCAATGGGGATGTTTGAGAATAGACTTTCAGCATCAAGAAAGGCTACAATAAAGTTTTGGGATTTTGTAAAAATTTTAACCGTCCTTATTGGTGAGCAGAATTTCTGATATTGTTGGGATTATATATGCCAAGAGATTGGAAGGAAGAGAGAAGGAATTTGTTGAGTTTGGAGTAGAAAAAAATAATGTTAAAAATGATAAAAGAAATAGGATTGTCTGGTTTGTGGGTTTTGGGTAATCCAAAACAACAGAAGGCAACTAAATTGTAAGAAATGAGATTTTGGTTGATAGAAAACTTGATTTCCTTGGTATTGAAAAGGTATTTTAGATGCTTTTCAAATTTTGTGATGAGAGAAAGGTAAGGTCATGTCTGGTTGTAAAGTAGGAGGGTTGATTGGAAAAGAGTGTGTGTATATATAAAGTATAAACTGAATTAAACCGTCCATGACAACATTCTTATTTTGTTCCTCTGAATGAGCGACAGTCATCTGGTTGTGAGATTTGAGGAAGGAATGATTAGAGGAAAATTCTATAAAAATTAGGATGACAAAGAAAGTTGTTAGAGGTTATTTATAAGTGATAATGTAACAAGCATGAATCAGAGACTTATCTTGCAGGGGTGCCCAGAAGAGGATTTGATGGTACGCCATCAAAATTCTTGATGACGACGTATTTTGAATTTTTGAGAGGGCCAAATTTTGACGGGGTTATGAATTTTCGGACTAAGGGACAAGGGGAAAACATGGAACAGACGGCAGTAAGTGTAATTGTATATGATCCACAATTTTTCTAATTCTATCTTAGCTTGCTTTGCTTTTAAGAAAAGGTGACTAATAAAAACATATCTTAGGATGAGGAAGGGGAAGTAGGTTCTTGTCCTATCGACCTTACAAGGGATGGGCACCCCTGTCTTGCAGCATAACCAATATAGTTCAGATCAGAGAAATGTTTTTTTCTTCATGATCAAGGATAAAGTTGGTATATCCATATGTATATATTTGAGGTCACTGATAAAAGATAGAACAAGTTTAGTGAATTTGGAAAAGGGAGAATAAAATTTGGCCTAAACTGAGAATGTATGTGAAGATTTCATTAGAAGAGATGATATGAGCCCCTTACTGGAGGAATAAATCTTATTAGAGTTGGATGAATCAGAAAAAAAAAAAAAAAATTTAACAGGATTCAGGAAAAGATAAAATATAATTTATAGAATATTTTTTATAGAAAATGTTAATTACAAGCATTTGTAGTAAACAGTTCATTTTCTGTTTAATGGACTGAATAATGTTGAGTTAGTTAAATTTAAGAAACGGAAAAGAATTTATTTCAGTTCCTACTGGTTCATGATTTTTGTTTCTAAGAAATATCTCATTTCCATATAATTAATATTAACATATTTTATATTGGCAATAACAAAATTAAAGTTCTATCCAAACTGTAGAAATATATAAGAACATTAAAAATATTTGAAGAATACTGAACTATTTATGAAGACAGTCAAATGTTCAGTTCACCTTTATGTGCTGGTTTTTCACAGAAAGACTTGAAATATAAAATTATTCAGCTTCCAACCAAACACCCTTATCAACATTACTTTGGAAAAAATATATCTATTGTAAGGTAATTTTGTATGTTTGAAATCTGTTTCTTATTGATAGATTTAAAAGATAAAAGATTAAATATATATATATATATATATATATATATATATATATATATATATATATATATATATATATATATATATATATATATATATTCATTCTTTTCATTCATACTTTCAATCATCCAATATATATATGTATGTAAATTTTTAATAAATAAAAAACATTGTTATTGATAAAAATTCAACTGATATCATTTAGGAAAAAAAATTGTGATATTTTAATAATAAATTTTAATAATAAAAATAATTTTTATCTCATTTTATTTCAAGGAAATGAAAAGCATTATTTGTTTTACTGCTGTACTTGGCCTAGCTTGGTCATTACCAAGTTACTGGGAGGATAATACCTTTGTATCCAAGGAATCTTCTGAAGATGGGCAAGGGAAAGGAGTTAAGTCAACTAATTGTTCTTGTGGTTGGACCAATAAGGTATCTTTTTTTATTTAAAATTTAGTCATTTATAGATATGATATGAATAACTATGATATATTTTTTCATTTATTGATTTTTATTTTCACTAATTATGATTTATGAAAATGTTATTTTAATTATGATGAAAAATGTATTCTCCTCTCATTGTTTTCACTAGCACACTCTTTTCATTAGTAGTTATTCTACTTATAAAAATTAAATGAGTATTTATTGATGTATTACCCTATGTGATAATACTATGATCCTTAACCCATTAATACCTACAACTTTTTTTTTATTTAAAATTTTTTTTTTTTTTAGAGAGATGCTTTTTTTTTAGAATAAACAATAAACAAAAAATAAGCAATGGAATAACTTAGGTTAGAGGAGATAAGAAGGGAGTGCTATGTTTTAGGGATTGTGAAATTTACTCGGGATGCCACTGGATAATTATGATGATAATTACCCAGAAATGTTTAATAAAAATTAATTATAATTAGTAAAATAAATTTGGATCTATAATATATTGATTGGTTGAGGATTAATTAATTGGATTTCTTTTCTCATAGGCTGGTTTGTGTTTATCTGTGATCGTCATGATATATATGGGTGGCAGAATTAAAATAACTTTAACTAAAAAACTTAATTTTTTTTATGTTTAATAAAGAATAATATACAAATTACATAGAAATCTTAATATTCAAATACTAAATACAATAAACTAAATAAAACATTATTTAATAATGACTATGCAGGTATGATTTGAGATTTCGGTAGATTATATAAAAATATTCATGGTGGGCAAGGATGGTTTTCATTGGTTCTTAACTTCACCCTATTACTTCACAATAACTGGTAACACCCTAAAAGGAACTCTAGTTACTTGGTTCTTATTAAAATTTATAAGTTCCTTAGTATTATCCTTAATTGTTTGGGTGGAGTGATTTAAGTTTAGTTTCTTATGGAATTTATTGAATGTTCAGCATTCAATAACGATGAAAGATTTATTAAATATGAATATACTTTATTATCATGTATTTCATATGGGTATTATCAAAATATTTCTCAATTTAATACTTGATTGTGGATTTGTGAGAATAAATGAAAATGTTTTAATAAATATTGTGATTTATTTTTTTTCAATATCTTAACAGTTGCTTCTTTTCTTTTTTTTTTTATTTCCTTATCTTTATTTTTGAAATATAAAGTAATGTGTTTCTCCCTATGGTACATTATAAATGTATCTAACAACTGGTTTATCAAGTGATATTTCAGTTTTCTAAATTCACACAATTCAAAAGAGGCACAATTGCTAGTTGATCTAGTGTTTATGATCTCAAAACATTATAAAATACTAATTATCTTTTTTTCTTGTTGAAACGATTTTTTTACTTGTGAAATATATTTGTTGGAGTATTAGTAGTACTTTAAACCTTAATCTACTAATGATTAAATTTATTTTAGGGAAGAATTGTTGGAGGTCGAGAAGCTTTAGTAAATGAATATCCACTAATGGCTGGTTTGGTTTCGGCTGAAGACCAGCTATTATTCTGTGGTGCCTCTATTATAACTACTCATCATGCTTTGACTGCTGTTCATTGTACCATAGAATACAAAGGTCAAAAAATATTTTTGGCTGTTGGAGAACATAATCTGTTATCAGGTAAATTAAAGGCAAAGATTAATATTATTCGGTGCATGCATGACCTAGCTCAAAAACAAAAAGTTGTAAGAATCTGAAATTAGGTATATAAAGTAAGCATATAGGCAGGATGTTATAGCAACTTTTTAAAATAAAATTGACTAAACGGAAGTAGTACTTTATTTAAGTGTTCTTAAATATTAGGCATGTATTATTTTCATTGAAATAGCCTGAAATGACTTACAGGCCACATTTTCAGGTATTTCTTCTTTTAAAGCATCTTTGATTTCATTTATTTAAAATAATTAACTAATTCAGATCGCAACCAGTAATAAAAATGGTTGAAGTACAAACAATGAAAAAGGAGAAATAAGGGATGGTAATGTGGGACTGAGGACACAAGAGCATGTTCTCGAGTTTGGCTAAAACGTTAGGAAAGGCTTCCAAATACCCATAAATTTATTAGATTAGATTGGTGGAAAAATATATGGTAGTTAATTCTTTTAAATAATATATTGTACTGTCTATATAGTATCCAATACCTGCCAAGTATCCAATACCTCTGCAATTCCTCCTACCATGTTACATTCTCTATCTTTGCAAAAACTTGTCCTTGGTTGGAAATCATGTTTAAATTCTCTGTTCCCCTTGTAAAACTTTCTGGACTGTTTTGTTTCCCATTCAGTTTGTAACATTTCCACTTTGCTCCTTTCCATCATTCTTTTCTTCTTCCTACAAATAGTCTTGGCAGCCCTTCTTTTTGTGTTATAGACTTCCTTGGTATGCCTTGTGTTTCTCTGCATCATCTTCATTCTTGCTTCATTCCTCTCCCTCAATGCCATCTGACACTCCTCATCAAACCATTCACTTCTTGCTGCAAATCGTCTCAATCCCAGGACCTCTTCCACCGTCCTCCTTAATGGGCTTTCAATTCTCCTCCACTCATCGTCCATTCCCCTACTTTCGCTTCCTTGTGTGCCCATCAAGGCTCCATTCAGTTTTTCCCTAAATGGATCTGAATAGTTTTTCAGTTTGAGGAGATCACTGTTATATCTTGTGGACTTCTCTCCATGTCCTCGAGCCCTTCTAGCAAGCTTCTGCCCATAACGTACTTTAACCAAAAAGTGATCAGAGTCGACATTTGCGCCTCGATAATTTCTCACATCCGATATGTCTGAGTTATGTCTACCATCTATAAGAATGTGATCAATTTGGTTTCTTATCTTCCCATCTGAGGATATCCATGTTTCTTTATGAATATCTTTGTATGGGAAATGTGTGCTTCTAATTGTCATGTTCTTTTCCATGGCAAAATAGATAATTCTTAGCCCATTGTCGTTTGAAACATCGTGTTTACTGTGTGGTCCAATTGTGGGTCTAAATGCCGCTTCTTTACCGACCTTGGCATTCATATCTCTCATAATTATTTTTACGTCATGTCCAGGCAGCAAATCATATTCTCTGGAGAGGGTATCATAAAAATTATCCTTGTCATTTTCCTCGCTATCCTCTATTGGTGCATGTACACTTATTATCGACGTATTAAAGAACCTCCCTTTTAAGCGGATCACACATAGTCTTTCATTAACAATTTTAAAGTTCAAAAGTAAATACTTCAGACTTTTCCGTATCATGAAACCTGCGCCCAGGTAGTTTCGTTGGTGTTCACTATTTATTATCGTATACTTCTTAAGGTTATCTCTGTTTTTTCCCATTTTATTTTTTGCACTGCGGCTATATCCACATTGTAATTCCAGACATATACCTGTCTGAAATACATATGTATGTTTCCATTTTAAATCTGATTCAAAAATTTATATGGACCAATACTTCTCCTTATTATATGTTACTTATATAGGTAAGTGAAAGTAGAAATCATAGAGATGAATATAGTGCAGGTTCACCAAAAGTTCTATGATTTTAAAATGTAAAATAAAATAATTTATATGAAGACTGTTGTTGATAAAGAACCTGATTATCAAATAATATAAAAAAATCTTGTATAACCTAATGAAAAAAAATTATTTAAAATATATGTATTTATTGTTCTATTTTTTTTTTTTTGAAAAAATTGATAATACTTCTATTGAAGTTATACTTCGACGTTTAAATAAAAAAAATATGTTGGAAATAATTGTTTTCATCTGTTTCTTTTTTTCTAATTTGTCTGTGCATAAAAACTTTTTTTGGGCACTGTAGTTCCATGTTAAAACAAAAATTTCAATTGAAATATTAATATATTCAGTCCAAAATGTTATTAAAAGCAAGAAATACTCAAAGTTTTATTTTATACTTATGTTATTTGTGAATAAATTTTTGATGAGTTAGCAGGAAATAATAAATATACAAATTATAATTGTATTTACACACTTTTCAAATAAACAGTGATTAATAAATTTGTCATTCATGAATAACAGATAAAGGTGATCAATTTTTTATTTAAAATAAAAAATTTTCCTGATAGAACCTCAATTATTATTTTTCAAGGAAAGAATGTTGTCCTCGGCTTAATGAATTGTAATGTATTTTATGATTGCATTATAAGTAATACTTTTCAGAAAACCAATCGAAATTTTACAAGTGAATATTTATTGTTGGTTTGGTTCATAATAAAAGTTTTACAATGACAATTTTGAGGTGTCCTCATCATGAATTGCTAAAAGATTCAAAATATATCATGAAAGAAATTTTATTTTTGTGTTTCAGACAAAGAAAAAGAAGCAGCTTTATATCCAATTGATCGTACCATTGAGCATGAAAACTACAATGATATGACCTTGGCTAATGACATAGCACTTGTTGTTGTTAAAAGAAAAATTGATTTTTCACAAAGAATAGGACCTGTTTGTCTGCCAAACAAAGTGCTGAATTTGGTTAATGAGCATGTGAAAGTTTTAGGTAAGATAAGATTCAGAACATATCTCTATACAAGTAATAATTTAACTTATCTGATGTATCATAGTGTAGCCAAAGAGACTGGAGTGCCAGTAAATGGGCTCAGGTTGAAATCTGGTTATGGACAATAATAAATTTTCTGTTTGATCATTAGTTGATTTAACAAGGGGTTAGAAGACCCTCCTGGGTTTTACTTACTCTATTAAGTGGTGCGCATGAACCTTCATTGAAAGTAATATTAAAGTAATGAACTTATGTAACATACAAGAAAAAAAAATCTGATTGTATAAATGAGATTTTTACACTAATTTATCTATTTCTGATGCTAGGTTGGGGCCTGACAACAGATGGAGGTTCGCAGTCCTCAGTTTTGATGAAAGTAAATTTGAAAGTAATACCAACATCAGAATGCTTCAAAAGCCATCCAATAGACATTGGATCACCTAAAGCTAAAAATGTAATGTGTACTTACAGAGACAACAAGGATTCTTGTGAGGTGTGTTAATATATAATTCATCATTATAATAATCCTTTCACTCTCTGTCACTGTGAGGTGTGGGAATGTCCGCTATAGAGCTTGGCCCAAGTGTCCCTTTCCTGTACCAATTCTCTCCTCCAGCCCTCACTTTCTGAACGCCTTCTTATAGGTGGTTCGTGGTCTTTCTCTTGGTCTTCTTCTGTCTACTAGTGTGTCATAAATTATCTTTAGGAGAAGCCCAAACTGCTGGACAGCTCTGCTTGCATGAAATTTACATTATATTGTAGGTCCCGGTCATCCACAGTGAATACGACAAGGTCATCGTCCCTTTTTTGATGGACTTCGCTATGACCTGCCTCTTAAAGTGACAATCAGGTCCTGTGTACTCCTTGAGTTTTTGAATCCATATCGCTCCCCTCCGATCTTCCGAGGCATTGGACCACTCTTCTTATCCTTTCTTCTAAGATTCTTGAATAGAGCTTGGTTCGGTCACTGAGCAGAGATATGCCTTGATGATTATTGCTTTCTCTATTGTCTCCCTTCTTGTAAACACAGCGATCTCCCAGTCCTTCGGTATCCTTTTCTTATGCCATATCCAATTTAAGAGATGGAGAAACATTTTTGTAGAATAGTAGAATTAAATTTTTTTATATTATTTGTTGGTGTATGTTTTATGAGCTAGGTTTTATGCATCTGATTTCTGGACTATAACTCCTCCTATCATCGTCTACCTTGCACTATTTTATCATGAGCCAGGGTTTATGCATCAGGCTTCTGGACTGTAAATCTTCCTATTTTGCATTCTTCTACCTTATATTTCTTTATGATAGGTATGGCCACTTAGATTTGCTGGAAACATGGCCAAACCATAAGGTTTAAGTAATTAATTCAGCTCAACAACCCACAAGCGGTTCTTAGCTTCTTCCAACAGCAATCGCCATACGTCCCTATTTTGTGCTGCTGCGATCCAATTTATCACTCCTATAGACCTTAAGTCACCTGCGACATAGTCCGACCAGCACAGCCTGGGTCTCCCAACTCTGCGCCTGCTGAACTGCTGCTTTGTTATTATTTTCTTCGGGATTGACTGCTTTCTGTCACGTTTGCTGTTTTCTGTCAAGGAATCCAACCCCGAAGCTATGGTGTTGTTCACTGCCGCTTTAATATACTGTGAAGTGAACCATAAGGTTTAAGTGTGGATATTTTATGTTATGCATGTTCTTCTTATTCTTTCTCTTCCACCCTTTTGCCTCTCAGCATGGGAGTGCTTCTAGCCATCAGTTCCATGCATCCCTGTTCCCAGCAAGGTACCTCATCTCTTCCAGGGTCTTCCCTCTTTGTCTTCCAATTCGTTCCAAATGACTAATATATGAGGTTCTTGGTCACCCTCTCAGTCTTCTCCCCATCGGCCTCACCTCTGGGGTTTTAACTGGGTCTCTGTGGTGGTCCGTCCGGCAGACATATCAGTTCAGCTGTCTCCTCTCCAGAGTTTCTAGCATGGGGCGTATCTTTAGCTCCTCCCTGATCCTGTCATTTTGGACACAGTCTCTCTGTGTTATCCCCATAATTCTTCTAAGAAACTTTATCTTAGTAACAGTAATACGGCTTTGTTATGCATGTTCTGTATATTAAAATTAGGATCTTTTGATCACCAGAAAGCAGGTTGACAGAATCCAATGGATGATTCTGGTATGAATCACCAGAATTTACTGTCAGTATTTCATAATGGGAACAGATCCTAGCAGGTGTACCTCTTGATCTCCTCTTGCAGGAAAATTAGTTTAGAAAATCCTTGGGGAATCTACTGAAGTATCTTCTGGTGAGGATTAATAAAGAACCTCCAAGATGGTGCCAAATTTGATGGATCTCTTAGGTAAAGGTGTGTTGCCCAAGGATGTTGCAATTAATTAATAAAAGGAATCTATTTTTATGAACCCCTTCCATTGTTTAATAATATTATTTATTTTTTACCCAATTATATTTTTAAGCTATATTTCAAAATTCAAGAATATTTTTGATGTTTTAGGGAGATTCTGGTGGCCCTGTAATATGGCTTGATCCTGAAACTAATAGGTTTACATTGGTGGGTCTTGTCTCTCATGGAAGGATGTGTGCAGGTGATTCTCCAGCCATAAATGTGAATGTTGGTTTCTTTTTGCCCTGGATTCAAGAGAAAATTGCTTGTAAGTAAAAAAATAAATAGGTATTATATGTACTTATTAGTTATACACAGTGTTTTCCAACTTTAATTACTTGGGTTTTATTAAATTCCATAATACTGCCTACGTTTCCACGAAATAATTTGTCACTTTCTAAAAAAGGAGTGTAGTGAATTTGTATGAAGTTATCATGACAACCACATGTACCCAAGTTGGACTTTTTTTCTGTTAAAATTTATAATATAGTTAATAGAACCTATCTATAAAAATTATTTAAAATTTTCATTAGTACTAAATTCTAATCAAATTTATTTTTCAGCTACTGGTTTCAAAGAAAAGACCTGTGCCAAGACAAATAAGAAGTGATCTACTTTTTCAAAGATTTATTGATCCACTGAAAAGTAATCCTATTTATGGGAACATTTTCTTTAACAAAATAAATAAATTATAAAGCCAAAGCATATTATTGGTATATCTGATGTGTTACCACCTGTGTAAATTACATAAAATTAAATCAGTTTTTAATTATATTATTTTTTTTGTATGATGTTTTGAAGCAGTAAAAGGAGTAATATCATTTAAATTTATGAATGTTATTAACCTTTCTTCCATCTTATTAACTTCTGAATCTCTCTTGAACTGACCATGCCAGTAGATGAGTATTTCTTTGTCTAATATGTATATATACATATGGTTTCTCATTTCTTAATGCCTCTCACAGGTGTTACCTTACGCAGTCAGATCTAGCTGCGAATTATGCTCTGATCATTCCGATTGATCCTTTTTGAAGAACTATGTAAAAAGGAAGAACACCCAATGCATCAAGGAAATATAGATAAGAATTGTTATCAAAATAGTTTAAATCAGCAGTTTTAAGTTTCTTTCTCATTAAAAAATGAATATGAAACCAAAGAAGATATCGAAGTCTTAAAGAAGAACATCCAGAAATTCACACAGATCTCATCAATTTCTAAACACAAACAAATAAATAACTAGTCCATCAGTCCATCAATAACTACCCAAAATTTAAAAGGTATTTGATCAGATCCAAGAGAACAGCTGTTAAGATATCGAAGACTGCCAGACTACCGTCAGATAAACAGACATATAACCAAATAAATAATGAATTAAAAATTACAACACAAAAATTCAACCAGACTATGATAGATAAATAATCTGAGTAATGACGATAGAAGCTTATAGAGGCACACTAAAAAGCTACTAAAGCATCGCGAGGTATTTGCACCACAACCAAAAGAGGTTGGTTCTTGGATCATGTAAGGGTGCCCACATAGTGCAGCGATGATGTGAGAAGAGAAGAGTGACAATAAAGGTGATCGCTTATGTTTGTGGATATTTTTTATGATATTTTGAGAATATCTCAAAAAGTATGGGGTTATTCTGAAAGATTGTTCAATACAATATTAAAGTGCTTTAAAATATCTTCAAAAAAGATCCTATACATTCTTTGATAAAATCAATGGTTACGGAGATATTTATTGTATTTTCTCAGGAAGCAAAAATTGCTCTAAACCATGAAATCGATATTATTTATAGTAGATGATACCATTTTGAAGTTTAATTTCGTTTTTATATCATTTTTGGTAGTTCAAATTATCATTAAAAGTTTCTTTGTTTTGATGATTCAAAAAAACCATTGACAAGAAAATTGTATTCGATATCCATCAGTGGAGAATTCCGTGATATTGATATAAAGTTCAGTGATTTCATACAGAAAACCTGAAATCTTTAATTTTGTATTTTTATTTTCACTTGCGTATATATGTAATATATAGCAAGGGTATTATTTTATTTATTTATTCCTCCCTTCCTTGCCTTTCGGCTACATGGGATTTTGCAGGGATGGCACACGTGCATGCCATTCCTGCTATATAGTAAGGATAAGTATTGCGATTGTGAAAATTTTTGAATCTGAGTTTTCAACAGAAATATACATTTTGGGGTACCCTGAGTCCAAATAATCAAGTCCCGAAAAATGGTCTGTGTGTCTGTATGCCTGTGTGTTTGTATGTTAGCAGTCTAGCTCTAAAACGAAAAGTTGTACGAAACTGATGTTACATATTTAAGATAGGAATATGCCTTAGATGTTCTAGCAAATTTTTCCTTAAAATCGGTTAACCAGAAGTGCCACTTTATATCAACGCTGAAACACATTTTCACAATTTTCTCAAAAACGGCTTAAACGATTTTGATTAAACTTGGTGTATCATTATATAATTAAGTGCTCATTAATATTATTTAGGTCTTATCCCCGTTGATGTCACTTTACAGAGCTTAAATGCCCAATGTTCATATGCGTCTTCCTCTAAAGTTCATTTTAAATAATGAACTATCTCTCATTATTAAGCGATACGAAAAAATGCTAAATATAACTTTTGAAAGAATTTGATAAAAAAATAAAAATGCTTATCAAGGTCGAAAATGAATCTCCTGAAATACTAGTCAGAAGGTATACGTATAATATATCGCTGGAAAGCGGAGAATTTTAGAAAAAAACAATATCTACTATAGAAAGTTGTAGAAGGTAATGGAGAGTGGCAAAAAAAATTATAAATAATAATTTTTGAAAACTAATAATATTTAACGTAAATGACATGTTTTCAGGGAAATTAAATGAAATTTACTAACTAAATGTAACATTTCAAAATATTTTTAAGTTTGAAAAAAATTTAAAATCCACCTAATCAAGGCAATGAAATTGTTTTAAAAAATAGTACATTGTACTTGTATGAAAGAAGAAGTAAAATATAAAATCATTTCATGGATGTATAAAGAATATGTTTATAACCATAAATACATTTAATGTAGTTTAATAATTCTAGATCTGATATTATATTTAAATAATTTGGTATCAACATCCATTTATTCCGAAATATTGTTATGTAACTTTTTAGAAAATTAAATTAGTGAATAATTTGATGGATTTTCCCTTTGTGATATTCCAACAATACCCACTACTATTTCATTGTACTTGTCTGAAAGAATAAGTAAAATATAAAACAATTTCATAGATACATTTATAACCTTAAATATATTTACTGCAGTTTAATAACTCTAGATCTGATATTATATTTAAATATTTATGTATCTATTGTCCGTTTATTCCGAAAAATCATCACATAACCTTTTAGAAAATTAAATAAGTGAATAATTTGATGAAATTTCCTTTTGTGATATTCCAACAGTTACAATTAGTGTGACAACTTTTGACCTGTCTATGATAGACAATGCAAATCTCTTAATTCTGTTTTAGTAAACTTTGCAATAGAAAATAACAGTTTAATAACTAATAGTCGTACAATCCATAATCAAACGATGATATAATAAATAAAACTTTTGTTATTTTAATGGTGTTTATGATTTGTTTGCTGTAATTTTTTAGCTTTAGCTCAGTTAAAAATGCAATTAAAAAATTTATAATAGCCCAACATGACTAGAAAATAATTTCTATTCAAAGTTGAGATAGAAGTGAAAGTTGTGTGTTGCACGCACCTGATTTTTTAAGTTAATCACGGTTTTTATTAAATTAAAAATAATAAAAATTAATTAGTTCACAACTAATTGGTTCATAGTAAATTAGATAAAATTTACAATTAATGCAAGTCAAATTTGTTTTTTTTAAAATCATTTAATGGGAACTTTAAAGCAGTTTTTTTATAAAAACTGACTTCATTTTAAGAATATCTCAAAAACTATGAAGTTTTTCTCAAAAATTATTCAGTACAATATTAAAGTATTTCTACTATTTCTACAAAAATGGCCCAGTATTTGTTTTTTTTTATAAAATCAGTAGTTACAGAGATATCAAAGGAAGTAAATTGATGGAATTTAAAAAAAAATTAAAAAGAAAATGAAATAAACAATAAAGAGTCAATACTTAAAAGATAAATAATTTATCTTCGATTTAGAATTAGTTTTTTTAATATTTTTTGTATCGACAATCCCAAAATTATCATATAACGTATTTTTAATTTTAAAATTTAATATTGTAGTAAAATTTTTTGAAGTAAATATTTTTCTCAGGAAACCTTAAGTTGCTCAAAAATTAAAATGTAAATTAAATACATTAAAAATGAAATTGTTGAATGGTATACTGCTTGAACATTTGTTATCGCTTAAAAAAAACAATAAACAACAGTATGTACATAATCAAACAAATATAATTAAAAGTATAAAGACAAATAATATTGCAATAGTAGGTTATTTAAATGTTGATATTTTTGGGAAATATCGAAGAAAGCTTTACTTTATTAAATTTACATTTAATGTGAAGGAATATAAAAAAAAATATTTTATAAATATAAATTTTTTTAAAGAATAAAAAATGTTCAAGTTGTATACCATTCAACGGTCTATTTTTTAAATGTATTTTATTTAAATTTTATATTTTGATAGCTTTTAATCGGCTGTATTAAAGGACTGTAAATATTTTAATACTTGCCAATATTTAATAATCCCTTTAGAGCATTCTCTAAGCTTGTTTAATCCCATTCCACTTCTTCAAAAAAGCCTCAGTTTAGTTATTTGTTGTAAAGTAGAAACATGACAGTGTTCTACGAAATTCTCGTAATTTTTAGGCATTACTGGAAAAAAATTTTAACAGCTGCTGAAGAAACTCCTGAAATTATGAAGTATGAAGGGGAAGATACCCTTGACCAGCGACTTGCGCGGCGCTGGTTTGAAAAAATTAGCAGTGGAGATACGACTTGGAAAGAAAGAATGGCTCCAGGCGACCATTAATGGATATTGATGAGATTCTGCAGGAAGCTGTTGAGTCAAATCCGTCCGCAAGTACTCGCAAACTTGCTAGGGAGCGTGATGTGTCGAAAGATACTGTTAGTCGCCATCTACTCTCCATTTGGAAGGTGAAAAAGAGTAGAAGACTGTTCCCTCACGAACTCCTCAGAAAATCAGATAAGAGATTAGAAATTTGTGAAATTTTATTGAAAACTCCTTCTGATATGAGATTTTACCGGAAGATTGTCACCTGTGATGAAAATTATGTTTACTGGCAAAATCTTCATATCCGTGAGCAGTGGCTAAATCGCGGTCAAACTGCTTTTCCGGTTGCTGCAAAGGAGTAATTTGAAAAATATGCATGCTTTGCGTTTTTTTTTTTTTTAATTTTGAAGGTGTTATTCATCACGAATTTGTTCCTGAGGATGAATTCTGAACTCTACTGCGGACAGCTGGAAAGATAGTACGCGAAGTTGTGAGATCGTTATCCTGCTTTGATCAAGCGAAAAGAGATTTTATTCCAACAAGGTAATGCTCGTCCTCACACTTCCCGTCGAACCAAAGAAAAGTTTAAAGAACTTCATGGGCCTCATCCACCATATAGTCCAGACCTCGCACCATCGGGCTACTACTTATTTAAGAATGGGCCATTTTCTTCAAGGGAAAAAATTGATAATTTTGCGGAAGTTGAAGATTTCTTTGACAGCCTCTCAAAGAATGGTATCAGCCTGGGATCGAGCAATTGGCTAGTAGATGGCTAATGACGGTAGATAAAAATGCACTATACTTTGAGTATTAATTGTATTTTATATCAAAGAAATAATAATAATATTTGGTTGACAAACGGTATTTTTATATTATATTATTATATTTATATTATATTGAAATGGAAATGCCATCACTTTACTCCGTTTGATATCTCCATAACTATTGGTTTTATCAATTGAGTGGGCCATTTTTGTATAAATTACTTTAGTATTGTACTGAAGAATTTTTGAGAAAATCTCATAGTTTTTGAGATATTCTAATAAAACTGAAACATATCAGTCCTCCCCTCCCCACCATCAAAACCCGACGCGGGATTCTTCGAAACTTCTTGCCAGTTAATATGGGAAGGGTAATGTAAAATTTTTGAAAAGTATAATCCTTTTCTTTTTAATTTTATTTTTTGGGTTTTAGTGAACTTTCATCTGAACTCGAGATGTTTATGGACTCCACCCATTTGAAATCGCCCAGACCATGTTCCTTGGCACTTTTGATTTTTATAAATTTTTTATCAGTTATTCCATATTTATTTGAGAGTTCAAAAAAGGTAGTTAGAAAGGTTTGTGGCTCAAAGTTTTTATTCGGTATCTATTTTTAATTTTCTTTTACACTGGAAACATGTTTTGGGAAAATCCCTATAACTCTGGTCATTTTGTAAATATCAAGCCAAATTAAAAACTGAAATAATTTAGAGTATGTTTCTACATTTCTGTTAATCAATACATCATCTAAAAAAAAGAAAAGTGGTAACAAAAATCATGAAAATAAACCAAAAAAGTGACTTTTAGGGCTGCAAAAGTGTAATCAATAAAAAAGTCTCAACTTTAAAAGAGATTGTCAAAAACTGGATATATCCCGATTGCGAATCACGTACATTAAAAGCCTCTGAGCCCAGTACAATGATCGGCTTACTGAGGTCGCTGAACGAGGACGTTAAGGAAATGAAGATCAATCTTTAGGGCATCGAAGCATTAAAGAATATTAAAGACACCCTCAATAAACAGCCAGAATTGTCCTTTGAAAATATAGAACGTCTGTTAAAAATAAAAACGCGAGGAACAGAAAAACCACGTAGAAAAATTAACACTCGAAAATAACTCGCTGAAAAACCAAATATCAGAGCTGGGAAGCGTTTGAATCATACAAAGCAGAATCAGTTAAGACATACAATAGAAATTCGAGGAATCCCAGACAATCCGGGCGAAACTTTGACTAGGACCATTATTAGCGTTGGAGCGGGTCTGGTCGTCATATTGAGTCCAGACGATCTGGATCACGTAGTGAGACTGAAGTCCAAGCAGGAAGAGACCCCAGGCCCTATTATCGCTCGATTTGTCAGGTAAACAGTAAAATATGAGATATTACGTCAAAGAAGAACGAAGAGAGACTTCTCTACACGCCATCTAAGCTGGGGAGAAAACTATTCGCACCGGGTGTACGTGAGCGAAGCCATGACCGCCGTCAATAAACATCTCTACTGGTTAGCCAGACAGAACAAAATGACAGCAAAGATAAAATACGTTTGGTTCAGTGGCGGAAAAACTCGCTGCAGTCAGACGGATACCCAGTGGTAATTATAGGAAAATTGGCCGTTGGCTAGCGACTTGGACGTTTTTAGTTTAATTTTGTATGTATGGTTCCCAAAGTTCGTTTTAATTTTACCCTTTCTCGCTAAAAATATTTTTATTTTATTCATTTTTATTTTCTACCGTCATTTTAGTACCAATGAGCTGGAATTTTATTTAACTATTTATTTTTTTCTTTCAATTTATTTTAATCATAACCATCTTTATATTTTCTTATATTGTAAATTAATTCTATACATAATTTTTTTTCCAATTTCTATAAATTTTATTTTATCTCTTCAACGATTATTTCATGCTTATTTTTTTTGCTGCTATGTCAAAAATTTTTGCTAAAACATTGTTATATCCTATTCTCCATTCTTGATCATTTTCCCTGCAATTGTACTTCCCAACATCTCAGTTATGACAAATAACATAAAATCCTGTCACGTCAATGCACAATCCCTTAATGCCCACTTTGATGAATTCTAAAAATATTTCCTGATAATTTTTACCACACAATACCAGTATCTGAAACCTGGCTGAAACCTTTTATTGCTTCCTTCCAAATTTCCCTTCTCAATTACTCTTTCCTATCCTGATCTGATCGCACAGGGGGTGGTGTCGGACTATATGTACATGATAGTCTTAAGGCCAAAATCCTCTTACAATCTCCAAAATCCTCTTTCATGACCTCACTCACATTGAATATTTGTTTATGGAATTAATTCTATTTTCTCTCCTTTACTATATGTTGTTGCCTACCGCTCTCCTCCTCGTGTTCCATTCATCCAACTCTTTGAATCCTCTCTTGTCAACTTGGTTTCCTCCTATTCCAATGTCATCATCTCAGGTTATTTTAATGTAAATATACTCTTATAATCTCCTGAAAAATATTTCCTTGCTGACCTGATATTTTCCCTTATCTGATTTCTTATTCTCTCATTCATCACACACAATTTTCCGACACTTGATTATACCTCTACATCTCTGACTCTCCCGTCAAAATCCTTTCTTCTTCTCAACATCCCATTCCATTTCCTTATTATTTCCTCACTTCGACTATTGTTGTACGGTATATGGGGGTGTCTCCGGGGATCTCGATACGAAATTAAAACGTTTGATAAATTTCCTTGTACGATTCATCTTTGGGATTCCAAGGGATGCCTCTATTTCCCGTTATTATGAAGAGCCGAAATGGCTTTAACATCCCCACCGATGTAAGTATTTCCTAGCTTCCTTCCTCTTCCAAGTCATCCACCAATCCCGCCGGACTTCATGCATCTTCGAGCTCCTTCAATTCAAATCCTCTGTCCACTCCCGCAAAACCCGCTCCTGGTCTTCAGATTTGTATACAAGAACCCAACGAAACTTTTTTTTCTTTTTGAGTTCTCTCCTTCCTCGCCTTTAAGGATAAACAGGGTTTTACCGAGCCAGTGGATGTGGGCCGGGATTCAAAAGACTCCTCCGGCACCGGACATGAACTCATAACTATTTTTTATCAATCACTCATATATCAAGTTGCCGGGCAACGGCGGTGCTGTGCACACACGTTACCCCGTTCGGCCACCCCGCCCACAAAGAGAGATCCCACCAAACCGCTGCTTTCCTCAGATCTTTCATTTTTCGATCCACATTCCAATGTAATTCTATCCCATCCTACATCCGTCGCTCCAATACCCTCTCCACCTTTAAATCCTCCCCTGTTCAATTACCTCTTATCCATTCAGTTCTCATAAAATTGTAAATAAATGTTGTAAATATGTATATAAATAATTAGTTTGTTTTAAATACTTTTATTTCATTTTTGTTTTTCTTAATTGAAGATTGAAGGTAAATCATATTATTTTATTTTATTTATTCAGTATATAAATCTGTTTATTTTGTAATTATTCTCTGAGGATTCAAATCCCACATTTCCATCTCTGTACATTATTCTAAAGGGTCTTGTCCCAAAATAAATAAAGCATTATTATTATTATTATTACTAAATAATTCATAACAATGAAAATATTTAGGTGTGAATATCTCCTAAACAAAAGCGTTTGCGGACTTACCTTCATAGGAATTTTTTTTTCTTGTTTGTAAGTCCTTAATTCAGATTTTCAATTTGGCCATTTAACCATAAAACACTCTGTATATTAGCCATAAAATATTAAAATCAATAATTAAAAAAGTCTAACTATTTTTGATTGGCTGTCATTTTGTTTTCCGGCTCTACTGGCAGATATATATTTTTTAGCACTTCTCCTTCTCTAGAACATAATTGTTTGAAATAGATGAAACTGTGTGAAATGTCAATTTCTACATGGGCTTTCGGACTAATAATGTGATTAAAAATAAATAAACAATAATAATTAGAATTACAAGTTATTTTCAATCAGAATGACAAATTAGCTATTACTTCAGAACATTGTTTAGAAACAAAACTATTAAAAAAAAAATAGTACGATAAACTCTAATCATAATGTAATTAATATGTTGATTGAATTATGTACTTTCTAAGTTTAATTTGCTTTCCTATGTTTTATAACATTGCTTTCCAGAGTTTATTATCTAAATGATATCTAAAGAAGAAGGTTAAAGAAGGTTATCCGCACCTCTAAAATCAGATTATCATAGTTCTAGAATTCATGTCTGTACTTGAAGTTAATCATACCACTTCTTACCTGTTCACGGATTAACATTTTTTTTTTTAATTTTCTCTTTCTTACCTCAATATGGATTCATTGGGATTTATGTATGCTGTCGTTTTGGCTGCTGGAGGAACTTATGGCTATGTTAAATCTGGTAGGAGTAATAAAATATTACAATGAATTTAGATTTTTCTTTGTTGGCTTATTCACAATATTTCAATAATTATTTTAAGTTTTGCTTCAATATTATTGTAAGTAATACATTAGGATCATGGCAAATCAGTCTAATATTTATTTCTCTGAAATGTTTCTTGTAAATTTTTTATTTTATTATATATGGTCTAATTTAGATTGAATGAAATTGAATTGATTATTCCCTATTGTGGAGTTAACCCTGTTTTAAATACAAATTTATTAATTACTATTTTTATTATTAATTTTCATTTTTCTATTCCATTATCTACATTTATAATTTATTAAAGGAATTGAGAATATATTATCAATTACATAATTGAAAAAAATCATAAATTTTTACAGGTTCATTACCCTCTTTAGCTGCTGGAGTTCTATTTGGATCAGCAATTGGTATGGGAGCTTACCAAGTTTCAAAAAATCCTGAAAACTTCTATTTAGCTCTTGGGACCAGTACAGTTTTATCTGGTGTCATGGGTTCAAGATTTTATTCATCTGGTAAAATAATGCCAGCAGGTGTTATTTGTGGAATCAGGTAAATAAATGTTGATTTAAATAATGAATTAGTTTTTCCTTCAATCATCTTTGGTTTTTATGTTAACATTCTAGTAGAACTTGTTTGGATAACAAGTCGACCAATGTCATATCGTTCATAGGTAAAATGCCAAACCTAGTTGAGTGTGTCTGAAAGTATTACAAGGAGACTGATCTTCAAAATTTCATATCATTATAAATTATGGTGCTTCTCCAATCTGATAAGTGGGTACAATATCTCATAATCAAACTACAAAATGAATTCTGATAATGGCTGACTATTGACTTGTTTACTGGTATATTATTCTTTTATTTTGAATGCGATTTGAAATAAAATACGATCTTTAATTTGTCAGTTCTGAATACTTTTTTATATCTCAAATGAAAGGAAAAAATATGGATCTATATTTTGGGAAGTACAGTATATGTGTAGTATAGCATTTGTTAACTACTGCTATATTAGTATCTGACATCGAAAACATAAAATAAAAATCTGATTTGTTGTGTAGTGTCAAATTATTTATTTTTTGAATTACATTATTTAATTTATAAGGAAAGATACCTCTCCCCTTGATTGCGCCTATGAATATCATATTATTATTAGGGATGAGACGGTCCAGGAAAAATCTGTCAATGCTCCAATTGTTCCAGTGACACCATTGGAACAGTGACAAATTACTGTCCAGTAATAGTGATAGTGACACAAGTCTTATCCATTCTCTTACTTAATTTATGAATATATTAATATATTATATTTATTAACCAACAGTTCTATATCAAATATGCACTTAGTAGTAACTGATTTGTTTTGTTAGGTCTCAATATACACAGAAAATATATATTATTAACAGTCGAGAAAATATTGTTTTTAATTTGAATTAAAATTTTATCTGTGTTTGATTAATATATATTCATTTTCGTAATCGATTCATACAAAGAAATAAATAAGTTTTTTTTTTGTTTACATATAACTGAAGAATGATATATATTGTGTTCTTGAATTATGAACGTTCTATATTTGTAAGCAGATATATGGTACATTCTCCTCTTAAAAAATTGAGGGAGGCTAGTGCGAAACATCAAAGTAATAGAACATATAGTTGTCAAATAAACTGTTTATCAAAGAGCTAATATAAATATATATATATAAAATATTTATATAACTTAAATTCAGAAAAAAAAGTTTACTACTTTTTTAAAAATTTTACTGAGTTAATTTACAAGTATACTGCAATTACAGTATACATTACAAGTATATTATGTATTTGTTTTCTTTGTTTTTTGTGTAATAAAACCTATTTTCATTTCATTCCATTTCACATGATACATAAATAAACTGTTTCAGTCTCTGTCATTGAGTAAGTCGCTAAGTTCATTACCGTTAATGATTTTGTTCTTAAAATACTTGATTCTGTACACCTGTAAAATTGGACAATCAGCGATTTAGTGATATAAATCCTCTATTACATTCAAATTACAAAGGCTACACAATCTTTCTGCTCACTCCTGATTACACTGTTGTTTAGAAACAATAATTGTCCACGCAATTCAAATATAACTTCAACAAAATTAATTTTATTTACATCTGATATATAATGACTTTCACCTAAGTCATTGTTTAAATCTTTATAAAGATATTGAAATTAGACACTTAAGTTTTTTCCCTCATATGCGCTTTAAAATTGTCCTGTCTCAAGCCTAATGATGTTATAAAAGTATCCTAAACACCGCCATCGGTTCATACACAAGATTCTGCACATCTATAAATAGCCTGAAGGGCATTTCATACCTGTACAGGTATATCAAATCATTTAATATTAATAAGGAAAACAATTGTACATAGCATGAAAACAACATTATCTAATTTGTTTTGTTAAATAAAAAACTTCTTTAGATTTATGAAGAAATGAAGTCATTCTGGTAGTCAGAGAGCTACAAAGAAGTGCATCATGTGGAATGTGCTTATAAAGTAAAAACTAAAGCGATGAGTGGATATGAAATTTTTTTTTTTCTCCCTCATCCCCTTTTCGGCTACATGAAGTTTCTCCTGGCCCAGGGGTGATAATGATGAATTAATGTAGGAGTTAAAAGTTCCCTGGACACTGGGATTTAAATTAGTATTCTTCAGTTTATTAGGTTGCTTGGTAACATGTGTTTAACAGGTGTAGGTAACATGAGGGCGGGGTGGCCGAACAGGCTAAAGCGTGTGCACAGCACCGCTAGTTGTCTGGCAACCGGATAACAGAGATTTGAGATGATATAAAAAGTACGAGTTCGCGTCCCGGTGCCGGAGGGGATTTTAAATTCCCCGCCCTCACCCCCCGACCCGGGAAAATCCCGTATAGCCTAAAAGGCGAGGTAGGGAAGAACAAAAAAAAAAAAAAAAAAAAAAGGTAACATGTGTTTGACACAAACCGTTAGCCCGCTCTGTCTCTCCGCTCTGTTAGATTGGTAGTGAACTATGATTTCAAAGCTCAATGAAATGGTATCGCTGTAACGATCAATCAAAGACAATCAATTACTAGAGTTGAGACATTTTATCATTCAAATTGAAATGAAAATAAATTAAAATCACAACTATAAATGCCCTCCTTCCTAATACTCCCAACCTTTTTTACCTGCGGGCACATTTACAGGTTATGTGTTAGGTGGTGGGCACAAGGTTTTTTTTTTTTTTTTTTATAATGTAAGCAGTGGATGTGATTTGCAAGTAGGCCACTTTTTATAATATTTAAAAAGAAAATGTAAAAGATATAAATAAAACAAAATGAATACGTTTCTAAACAAACACCTTTATCATTTCCAACAATGCCATTGATTTTTTTATTGCCAAATAAAAAGATTAAACAAAACAATAGTGATGTTATTAATCAATAAATGAATTATTATTTTCAAATAGTTCACTTATATCTCCATGCACTTTATATTGATATCGCATTTAAGAAATAAATCATAAAACATTGCATTGAAAACTCTTCTATATGTAACTGCCCCTTGAAATAATGATAATGATTTAAAAAAAAACAACAGAATATGTAAGATATTATTAAATTACTATTTGCTAACTTAATTCTTATACTTACAATAATACACTAAGGATTTAACATTTTTTTTTCTGGTTAAATACAATAAATAAGTTACATTTTTTAAAAAGTTTTTTGAAAACTGGTTATTTCTGAAGCTGCAGGAAGAAATGAAGGATTTCTAAAACTTTATTTATTTAAAGAATAATTTTTTTAAACAATTGTATTAACACTGGACTGTGATAAATCGCTAAATATGTTTTTAGTAAAGATAATAATATAAAAAGATATAATAAAAAGTAGCAAAGATTTCCAGTATGCATTAATTAATTTCATGCATTCAAAAATGTCACTGGTGAGAATTTTTGGCAAATGTCAGGAATTTAGTTGACCTCATGAACTTCCTGTCTGCTTACTCTTTTTAAAATTTTATTTTGAATGATTTTATCTAGAATTTTCCATAAAAAGTTTAGCATTTTTCGTAATTGTTAAACTAAACCTGGCAAAATCTACTAAAAATTATAATAATAATCTAATAAATAATATCAAAAAATTCACATTAAAATAGTGATTACATTAACAAAAATGTTGTTACATTAAATACAAATAAGTGAAAAAACTGAGAGATAGAAATTAGATGTAAGTTTATAATGGGAAAAATCTAATTACCCTGCCTTCTGTCACTAAAATGCATGTAAAGAATAAAACTAACCCATCATTGTTTTACCAATTCAGGCATCATCAAGTGAGGAAAACATGACATCCAAACATATACCCTCAGTAAGTGTAAACACTTAGTAGGTGTGTGGATGTGTTATTCAAAAGAAAAAGATATTTTTTATAAATCACAAAACAAAGTCATTTAGTCTGAATCTTATTAAAACATAGTCCATTTCGGATGAAAAAAAGCACATGATTATAGATTAATGACCATTGAAACAGTAAAAAAAAAACTATGACAAGAGTATCAAATATGTATATTTTATATAAATTTGAAGATGAACAACTTGAAGGAGTGAGTCTGGTTTGATTCTCAAAAATTGTAATGCCCTTATATATTTATATAAGTTTTTTTTTTTTTTTACTATCGGAAATTCTTTAATAATATTGACAATTTCAGGTTCATTCCTATTCCTCTAGTTATTAATTTTATTTTATTTATTTTCAGTGTTGCTATGGCTCTTCGCTATGCTTACAAAGGATTTTCTTTACAAAAGGCAGTAAAAACTACATAAGGAATTTAAATTTTTGTAAGTTTTGTTTTATCAAACTAGTTTGTTCTCATATTCAACATCAGTATTTAAAAAAAAAAAAAAAATTTTTACAGAGAAATTCAAAAACATGCATCACTTATCGTTTTCTGTGTTATTAAGTTTTAATCAGTTTGCTGTGGAGGCTGAGCTGTTTTTTTTTTTTTTTTTTTTTTTTTGAGCAGGAGTATGACAACTATTTACATTGGCAAGTAACATTTTGTCATTGCTTATTACGATTTTAGGTAGTATTTTGGTTAGTCTAGATTATGTTACTTCATAATATTTGAAATAAGTAGTCTTTCTAGTACTATGTTACATTCTTTAGGTAAATAATATTTCTAATTAGTACCAAAGTCAAACTTTTCTTGGTCTTACAGCATCTGTTTGTTTTTATAGTGTTATCAAAACCTGTGATAAGATTTTTTAGCTGTGTGTAAATATAGTGGTTTCACCCATAGGTACGGCATGCAATTGTTTTACCATGTTATATAATAGTGAGATAAATGTTTTTTAGCAATAGAGTTATTTAAATAATAGTTTATTTAAATAATATTTTCTTTGATGCATATATTTTACCTCTGAAAACTAATTGTAGAGCTGATATTTTTTGACAAAAAATTTTATAATGATTATTGAGGATGAATATTACAATATATGCCTTTGGGTATTAGCAGAAATTCATAATTGTATCAATAATCTTATTTTTGTATTATGTTGTGGGTTGAGTATTAAGCATTGAATATAATTGTTATTGTTTGGTGATGATTAATTTTGTAAAAATGTTTTCTTAAATGTGTGGATTTTTATATTCTTAAGAATTGTGGCTAAATATATATTATGTGCTACTGAAATTGTTTTATTTATATAAATGAATTATATTAAAAACTTAAACTTTTTATTTGTATTGATTTATTCAAAACCTCTTCTTCTTGAAGGAAATTTAATACCAAAGAAACCATCAAGTTCATAGATACTCTACAAACAAGTTATTCTACTTTTTTCTTGTTAAATACATGTCACATCTTTTTTTTTTTTTTTTTGATGAGTCTGTGTTAAGCTTTCAGTCTGTATAACATTGGTAACAAAGAAAACTCACTGTATTTTTCGTGTGATAACCTCTTTTCTTCAAAATTCAGTATAAAATTCCCTTATGCCATTTGTTTCGTATGAATTATTTCCTCTATACCTGCTGTATATCCTTCAGTCTCACACACTTAACTGTTGGCTATGATTTATTTTAAAATATTTTTGAAAACAGTACTACTTCTATTCTCAATTCAACTTTCTGGTTAATTCCATTTCTACTTCGTTTAAACCTCAATATACAACAACTTGTCAAGTCGAAATTGAGAAAGACAGTATTATTTCTAATCTCAGTTCCAGTTGTAGCATACTGAACTTACAAAAGTAAAAGGGTATGGTATATAAAACTAGAACGATGAAATTTGAAATCTTAGCTCAGACGGTTACAATCCATCCATGTAATGACTCTGATGTCAGTTTCCTTTGAGTTTTCATTACTACTAGTATGAAAAATAAAACAATATAGAATTATAGAGGAGATTGACTAACCCAACTTTTCATACTTGTCATCATTACAAATTAATTGTTTTGTTGTAATAATATATATTTTGCTCAATATTATATACATGATGTCTTGTTAACAATGGTAAATATGTAGAAACAAAAAATTCTTGTGGGGCAAGGTACGATTTAACATGAAAAAGTAGGAAATTTAAGTTTTGTATTTTTGGTTGAATAGTAAGTGATAACTAAAAAAATAATTAGGTATTACCAATTGAAGTATTGTAAACCACAATTATAAAACTACTTTAAGTGGCTAACCTACCCATAAATTCACAATTATTTTTCATCAGCCTCCTTCAAAATCTTAATGAAAATTGATAAGTATATGGTATTAAGTGACCAATTGAGACATGATTTGTTGTTTTCAAATGGGATTTCTTCTGATTCGAGCAGCCACTGCTCTCATTATATTTGCCGTTCTCACAGTGCGGGTACTGCCCGGTCTAGGTCTGTCACATGCAGATAGGTCTCATTATATCTATTTATAGTGTGGTACACAAACACCCCCTCCCCCCCCCCCTGATACCCAAAGGTTTCAAAGTGTTGAAAATCCCTGACCTACATTTTCCAACTTTGTGTTTCTCTGACGGATAAAGGTTTTGTCTTAAATATTGTATCTTTGTATCTTTATAGAATTGCATTAATTTACATGTCGTCGGGACCATGTTAAAGTAACGAATGCGAATTTTAGCCCGATATAAACTTTCTTTTATGATTAATGTAAAAATGGCATTACTGATCCCGATTTTCCAATTCCCATTCAGATTTGACTTTTTTCCTGCAACGTGGGCTTGGAGTATTATCGTAAATGAACGAAATTTAAAAATGTGATTAGTTTAACATGGTGCCGGCGACTACTTCCCAGACTAGCTGGAGGTGTGACGTCTATTGAACGCCTTACTGACATATCCTTAGTTCAGCAAACACCACAAATAGTCTCTCCTTACAAATGGATCTCCTTACGGTAAAGCGCTCACTATCCGGTGGTAAACTAGTTCCCCGCTCGGATCTTCGAGATGGGACTGCTTTAGGGGATTCATGGTACAAGTTGAAAAATATGAATTCAGGTATTGGTACAAGGAACGTAAGGAGTTTGAATTCAGCGAACGATGTAAATGGGTAAAATTTAGATATCGTGGCTCTGCTAGAGATTCGATTAGGAAAGAAAAGTCACTATTTGGTAAAAAGGACATTATTGTTTAGGTCCCAGTTTTCTAATTAGGAATAGTTTAGGATTGCTATTCGCTTTGAGAGACCTACAATTCTTTAGTGTTGTAATTTCGGTAGCCATATTTCAGGGACGTTAGTTTAAAATCGCGTTAATAAATATACATTATACAACCAAAGACAGTAATGATGAAGTCAAATACAAATTTTATGATAAACTCTAGTAGGTTTATCGTAAACTACCACGATACTGCATGTAAATAATTGTAGGAGACGCGAACGCAATAATGTGAAGGAAGGAAGATTATTTTCCGACTAACGGTAAAGAAAGTTTGCACGAATGCAGTAAGAGCTCATTTACACGGTGCCAGTTGGCGCGCCAGTCGAGATCATCAGTCATTGAATGCCAACGACTGGCAGCGTGCAAACGGTTCATACCAGTTACTGGAGAGGTCAGCGAGGCACTGGCAAGAAATAGTAGATTGACTAGCGCGCTGGCAAGCGCCTACTCGGGATTAGATATGACTAACCAGCAAAACGAATCGTTATTTTAATATGATTTTTTTAGGGTTATAAAAATTTATGCAAATTTACATTCTAGTTGAAGGCAAATTTTCCCAAAATTTTAATACAACCAGTAGGCCCGTGCGAAAAATTAGCACAGCATATTGTTTTCAAATGCCAAATTAATAAGAAAATAAAATAATGCAACCTATCAAATGATAAAGAAATAAATTGTTACTTTATCGATAAATATAATCGACAAAGGAAACAAAAATTAATTTAAATCTTCATTAATGTTTGGAATCAACATGTTTACAAATTTCAATAAGCTGTATCTTTGCTAAAAATTGTCCGATTTCGATGATTTTTTTTCCTTTTGTAGAGAATTTATTAATCTTTTATATAACCATGGGCATAACCAAGAGAAAAGTGTTTAAGTTTTTATTTATTCGCAAATAAAGTTTGTTTTCTTTCATAACTTGTTTGTCTGAATTCTCTGGGTGATTGGACTATTTTGCCCGCCTGAAGGAGAAGGAAGCCTTCGAAATTGGTGGCTCAATCTTGAGGTTTGGTGAAAAATTAACGATGATATTGCTTGCCGATCAAAAACATCATCGACAAATAATGTAAACTACTCTCTCGATCATAGAGATATCAAGTCGATGAAATGAGACATGTACTACAATTAACGTAAGGTTGTGTGGATGCGAACCTATGCCTTGCGTATCTAGTACGTTTTTGGGCTTAAAACGCAGGATCCGATAGTTCCGGAGGAAATATCCGGGTCTTGCTGTACGCGTCAAAATTGTCAAGGTCCACTTTGTCCCGTATCGATCTATAGACCTACCACCGTTCCTGTATTGAAGCCTAGCAAAATATTTGTATTGACTTTATTTATTTTAGAAAGAAAAACAAAAGTGGAGAAAAACAAAAACGATTTGCTAACACCCCGTGAAATTCTGAATCCAACGGTACCCCATTCATGATATTTGAGCATGACATGAGCTTATAATTGGAACAAAAACGATTTCGAGTTTCACTGTAATAATATATCTGGGGATGTGGGGATATATCCTTCACCATCACCTATATCTCTAATTTAAGCCTAGGAGATTGTGGATATTGATGGTAAATTACATTATAGCACGGTGTTTTAAAATTATAAAATTCTTCTAATTAATCTATATGTGTTAGTACTTAAAGTGTGTTTTAACATTAGTGAATAAACATCAATGACTTTTCCTTATTTTTATAGCCCCTATATTCCAGCTCGAAATCTAATATCTATATATAAAATCTTTAAGTACCCTTTAAATAGCCATTTTAAATTTATAAGAATAAGTAAGTAAAAAAGTTGATGAGTGATCAATTAAAGGGAAGCATTAATTTAGTTTTTAGTTTTGGAATATTCTAAAGTAATACTTTTTTTTTTTTTTTTTTTTTTTTTTTTTTTTTTTTTTTTTTTTTTTTTTTTTTTTTTTTTTTTTTTGTCCTCCCCTTCCTCGCCTTTAAGGCTATACGGGGTTTTCCCGGGCCAGGGAGTGTGGGCGGGGATTTAAAAACCTCTCCGGGCACCGGGACGCGAACTCGTGACTATTTTTTTATCCAAGTCTTATGTATCAGGTTGCCGGGCAACGATGGTGCAGTGCACACGCGTTAGCCCATTCGGCTACCCCGCCCACAATTCTAAAGTAATACTACCTACTAAATGTATTTGTAAATCTTCTCTTCCTGTCTTTTAGGATGGTTCTTGTGTTGTAGGTTGAAGTTATTTCGGAGGGACCCATGGAATAAACTCGACCACTCTGCACAGTGGGATGAGTCAAGCAAATCTCGCGACATTGACCAAATAATGTAATTTCTATATAACTTAAAAATAGGTACATATCTATCTAGTAATCTTTTAAGAGATTCCAAAAGGTTTAAATGGTAAAATTTTAATAAGTATCTTCAAAAGTTGACCACGTTTATGTGGCGCAAAATTCGATGTTTTTAAAAACTTGACTACTACTTGACTAAATTACAATGCTATTTATCTTATCTTTTAAATATTACATAATAAGAACAATGTATTCAGAATGGTTCAAAACAATAACGAATCACGATAACCATTCATTTAACTTATTACGTAATTTATTTTCGGATTTAAAATTTACATTTTTACATATTTTCATAAATTCAACAATTACAAAAATCTATTTAACTTCATTGAAAAGAAGGCATTGTAAAATTGTATTAAGGTGTTATTTGAATGTAAATTTCAAAAATGTCATCCCACCTCAACCCACTTTAGAAGTTATTGGTATTTAAATATAATTATTTTAGTGTTTGTAAAATATATAAGATTAGTTTTTGGCTCTAGTTGTATTTATGTTATGTTATAATAAAATGAATAATTGTTATTGAAATATTAAGTAGGAAGAAACCGCTTAATTGTTTTTATTAAAAAGATATATCTGTTTGTTAAACCACAATTTTAAACCGCGATGTATAAGATTAAAGCAATTGAATTTAAAGAAATCATGCTACATTATTAGGACATCAAAATTTTTTTTTCTATACCTT